GTGTCCACGCTGCGTGGGGACACCTTTGCACGGCCGGTGCTGGCCCAGGTAATGTGTTCGTGTGCATTCGCTTCACTGGGAAGGGTGTTTTTACCTGCAGGAGCCGTGGATGGTTGGCTTTTTAAAGTTGAGATATTTGAGACTTGCAAAGAAAAGGAGGTGGTGTTCGGTGGAGAGGTTAAACGCAGTGGAGTGGAGTTTTGCACCTTCTGGGAATGCTGCCTGGTCTTGTTCGTGTTGTCTTAGTCCATGCAAATCTTCAGCTTGTTTTCGGTGCTGTGAAGAGCAACACATGCAACAGGGTGGTTGCTGTACGGGAAATACGTCCAATGATTTGGGTTTTTCTTCCAAATGGAAAGTTCCTTGTGCATGAGAGATTTATCTGCTTCTCGGAGCAGGTGTGGTTTTGCATGAAACTGTTTTTCAGGTGGTTACAGTTCTCTTTCTTTGTAAACTGCTGCTTGACACTGCTGTAGGTGAAAGTGTATAGTTGAATCCTTCTAATATAGGATTGCATGTTTCTCTTAAAAGTCTAATAAAAAAAAAAGTCTCATTTTCCTCAATGCATTTGCCATTTTAATATAAGTCTGTAGAGTGTAGTTGTATCTTTCTGACTCGTAAGCCTGTTGTTGATGTCCTGGAAGATGTGTGAATATCTGTATTTGTTTTAATTCCCTCTGTTAGAGAGCTGAGGGTTTGTTAGTACTTCTTGCTCCAAGTTCGCTCTGGTAATGGTGCTTAACAACTGAAACCAGCTTGTTTGGGCTGTGTGAGGAGGAGGCAGTTGTCTGTTCCTAGTGAGATTTGTTCCTGGACGGTTTTCCAAGGAATCACTATTTTAGTGTGAGGTGATCTACCAAGCAATGAAATAGCAAAGGTTTTCCATCCCATCTTTAAATACAAAATCCATGTATTGCCACTCAAAGTGTTGGGCTTTTCTGTTGAGTTGTAATCCTGGCAAGATAATTTTTATCCAGGGGTGAAAAAAAATGGGCATTTGGTCAGGATTTGGATAATGAAATGGCAGATTACAACTGAAAATACAGTATCTTGTGGGAGCTCTTCCTGTGTGCTCTGTGGAGGCGACTGCCTGGAATGGCTGTGAAATGTCACTTAGTGTCATCAGCTTGTGTGACTCTTAAAGAATTCGTCACCTGCAACTCCAGGGAGGTTTCCTGAGGTACAGCTTATGCTGCTTTGTTTGAGTAAGAAGATGCACAGTTGGAGGAAGGAATATCGTCATTGACGGAGAAGGGGTTTGTTAAAATTCAGGGTTTTCAAGTACTAATTCTCGTTCTTTGCCTTTGAAAGAGAGATTTGTTCGCCTGTTGGTCATGGGAAAATTGGAAAGACTCTTTGAATGCTTTCTGGTTCTTTTTATATTCTTTGTGGAAGACATACTTATGTCTTGCAACCGTACAAAAGCTCTGCAGTGCAGTCGCCAACAAGTCACGTAGGGAGAAGGTCTAGAAAATGCACCCTCGTGGTTCTTGTGTGCTGGAGTGCCTTGTGGTGGTCGCAGGTTTGAACTTTCTGTATATACAGTTCTTTGTGGACTGTTACTGCTGTTGTGTTGCCTGCATTGATTTTTGCCTCCATTTATTCTTTATTGCAGTCTAAAAGTTGGTTTTAATTGGTTGCCCACAGGATTGGCTTGGCTTCTGCTACTTGTTAAGAAAAAAACATCTGTCTTTGCAGGTAAGAGCCTTTGAATTGAAGACTTCTTTATATGCATATTGAGTATATCCTAAGAAATACCTGAAGCTTTGGGAATCTGAATTTATATCAAAAGACTTGGGTCAAATAATCTATAGCCTGTCTCTTTACTTTGACTTACTCTTTGATGGTGGTTTTGGCAATGTTTTCCTTGTAAACAGAATTTTCCGCCAAAGTAACGTTCTGTTGTTTCATCAGCACGTGGTAGCCTGGAACACTCTCCCAGTTATTTTGCACTGTTGGAAAATGCAGTTACTTTGCTGCAGGCCACAGGTCTGCACGTTTGTAACTATTGGAGTGTAGAAGTGAACATCAATTGGTTCTAATTAGGTTTTGCAGCATTTAAAGGGCTTGAATACTTTCAAATTGGCTCAGAGTTGACTGTATTAATCTAACAGGTTGATTTGAGCCTTAAAAAGGCAAAACTGAAGTCTGCAGTTTTAACTTCTGCTAGACAGTCTCCTACTTAAAATTCCTCCTCCAGTTACTGCAGTTCTTAGTCTTTATCCAAGAATTGCCAAATATGTTTGTGTGTATTTGTACCATGTGGGTATTGTACTTTAATACTCCCTGGGGACTGGGGTGAATCTTCTCAGCTTTTCCATTGAAAAATTCATGCATCTTAAAAGGCTGGTCTGGCATGCTTATGAATTTATGCATATGACCCAAATTCTTGTTACTTCACTGACTAGCACATGGGTGGAAGAGGTAGTATTGTCACCTCTTACACTTTTTTCCCAGTGTAACATCAACATTTTTAAAGCTATTGCTGTGAAGACATAAGCATGCTGTTAATGCTCACCAGCTGAGCTGAGTCAGGTTGACTGTCAGCAGCCTGTTCCTCTCTCCCTTCTTGATCTCGCCCTGCTAACGGGGACGGGATGTCCATAGTGCACCTCTAGGATTTTGTGCTTCCGTGGATATATGGAACACACAAACCCACAACAAACCCCACTTCTGCCTCCAAGTGCCTTTGTGCCCCAGGAGGAGAGCAGGCAGCCTGAGGACACCTCTGACAGCCCCGCAAAAAGCCTTCAGTGCCCGCTGGACGGGTGTGCTGTGTCTGAAGTTGGTGTTGCCTCTGCAGGTGTTGGTCTTTGCAAGTGAGCAGTGCAATATTTGAACAGGCTTTGCATTTTCGTGACTTGGAGAATTTGAGTGAGTGTGTTATTGCTTCCTAAGTGCATTTTGGAAAAAATCTGCTTGTGTTTAGAAATGTAAAACTTGGCCCTTTTGGTCCTTGAGATTTTTTCTTTAGGTTACAGAAGCAACACTGCTACTCTGTCTAAGCACTGAAATCCTGAGAAGATCGAGGCAGTTACGTGTTGACAGAATATTCCTTTGCCAAAAATATTTGATGAATCAAGTCCTTAAAATTCTTTTTATTCAGACCACGATACTGTCAGCTCTTGCTTAATAGCAAGCCTTTGCTTAATGTTGTGCATGGAACTAACTGCACTGAAGTCATTGCAGCTAGTTTTTTTAGTGACCATGTGCCTAAAGCAGCTCTTGGGATTTTTTTGTCAATAGTGATTTAGTGGACCTGAATAGAATACTTGGTAGCAAAACTTCAAGGACATTTGCCATGAAGTTTTGAGTTGAGTGCAAAAATGAAACACTTGCATTATCCCAGACTGCTTGAACTCTTTTATGACTATCTGTTAATTTGTCTTCTGGGCTGGGTTCCTGAAATCATTTGTAAGTGCAGTTATCTAGCAGGTGTCAGTTCTGATAAAGAATGTAAAGTGTTCTAAACCAGCAGACCTGAGTCCACACACCTTCTCAGGCTGCCCTTGTTCAACCAACAGCCGTACCAGATTGTCCTCCCTTTTGCATTAGTAATGAAATAGCTCAAAGTGATCTTCCATTTAACACAAGAAACTTCAAATGTCTTAACTACCAATACATAAAAATTTCTGAAGCTAATTTCTATATCTAACAGGTAATAGAAAAAAATGTAAAGCTCTTAGCAAGATTTGCTCTTGGTAGTATTTCAGTTTCAGAAGTGTCGGTGCCAAGCCAGGGATGCTTTTATACTTCTTGCATGCCTCAGGATCGTCTAATTCAAAAGCCATCCTGGAGCACAACAAATCAAGCTTGGCCTTACCTTGCCCTTTGGTGTGGCTTCTGTAAAGGAAGCAGAATTGTCATTTTAACTTCAGTTTCAGACATTACCATCAATTGTGGCAATTTAAAATAAAACTACAGAATTGTTGTAAAACGCTGCTTTTTAAAACAGTGCAAAAAGCCTTAGGTGCTTTCTTAGATGTTTATGTAGCATAGGTAGTGCTTATTTTGATCTCTTGTGTTTTTGTTTCACACAAGTCAGTTATTTTGTCATTAGTAAATGATTGGGTAACGAATTTTATTTTCAAGTTAAAATGTAACTGCCACTATAACAGATAAATGCAAGGATGTTGCTTCTGTTACCTGACCATGGAGATGGGCAAGTTGCTTTCAAAAGAATTAGCCCTGAGGCTTAGTGGATATTGCCCTTTCTGTTGCTCTCTGCCCTTGGGGGAATAGAAGTTTTCTTAGCAGTGGTTTTTTTGTTTCTTCAAGTGTCTGTTGTGAGTTGCAGTCTCTCTCTCAAGATGGTGTAGTGAGGAATTGGATGTTCACGCGCAGCGGCCAGAGCAGCGGAGCTGACTTGATGTGAACGGGCTTGTTTGTTGTTTCCCTGAGGGAGAAAGGTCCTCAACACGTCTCTCTCGTGTCAGCCAGTTGGGGGGCAATGCCCTGTAATACCCCAGGATGTTGCTTGAATTCGTTGGTTTGTTGAAGGGGTTAGCTCTGGTTTATTGGTCAGTAAAACACTTAAGGACCCAATTTAGTAATCTGAAGTTCCATCATGCAAACAAAAGAACTTTTTCTTGACCCCGTAGAAGAATTGTTACTCTTGTTTTCATTAAGTGCTGACTTCAGCCTTTACCTGGGTAAATTGTGGCTTTACTGAGTCATTCAAGACGTGGCTGCTCTAAAGCGACTGGAAGACCTGGGCAGGCAAACGGAGCTGGGCTGTGTGCTGGGCTGTGATCTCAGCTGGATGTGAGTTACTGGGGGATAGTTACTGACTGGAGTTGGCCAGAGCTTTGGGAATGGCCAGGAGTCTTTGGCAAATGGCCTCGTGGTGTGCAATTGGACAGCTGGTTGGACTTGATCTTTAAAGGTCTTTTCCAACTTAAACAGTTGTGTGATTCTATGATCTGGTTCATCCTTGATTTCAAGTGCTTAGTTAACACCATTTCTATGAAGCTTCAGAGACAAAGTGGCTCAGGTGGAACAAGGTGCTGTTGCTGACAGTTTAGGCTGGGAGATTTCCCGGTGAACTCTGCTAATATTAATATGATGATTTCAGCCTGTACTCAATGCTTGTCTAGAATGACAATTATTTAGTATCCTGTTCGTCTTCAACTTCTGATATGACCTCAAACTTCTATAGAATTTGTACAAGCTAACTGTCCAGATCTTGCTGTTAAGCATTGATCTCAAGCTTCCACCTATGCCAGCTGCAGAGGTTAAAGTCATTTTCTCGTGCTTGAGATGGAAGGTGTCGTGTGCTATACAGAATTCTATTTGCAACTACTGAAAAAATCAGACCTTGTTTTTGGAAGTTGTAAAGGCCAAATATTTAGTTAGGATATGCATAGATGTTAATCTAATTTAGGTGAGGTGTGTGTAGTCACAGAATGGCTGGGGCTTGTTTATAACAGTTAGCAAGCTACAGGTCCCCTGGACCCATTGCCTTTGCTAGGAATCAAACGTCAGGCCAGTAGGATACGGTCAGGATGTCTTGTAAGTCTCCCTGTTGCTGGTTGTCCATGTTGGGGTTTTGTTCATAACCGACCTGATCTTACGTTTCTAGTTGTCTTCACTTGGCAGGAGATAAAATCCTTCCCCAAATGAAGGGGAACTGTTTCCTTCCCATAGCTGTGCAGAATTTTTCAGTCACTTTGTCAGGTACGGTGGATACCATATCAGTGTATAGCAAATTAATTTTGTTTGCTTGGCTAAAATACTCATTTTGCTTACATTCCGTTAAATATTGAACTACTGATATAATAGTTCTGGTTTTTGATATTCCTTAGTTAGTTTGTTGTTTGTTTTGTTTTTGTTTTGTTTTTTTTTTTAACTGACACTTGTGGGTCTTAGTATAACAACTATTTTGGAACCTCTAGTGCAAAATGTATACTGATTGTGTTGGTAAATGTTTAATACTTCAGCCTGTATGAAGTAAACACGAATAAGAAAGTTGGAATATAAACATGCTTAATCTTTACAAGATGTTACGAGGTGTGTATAACCAAATGCAGTAGCTGGTGTGTGTAGGTGCTTGCATGGTGTCACGAACAGTAGTCTGACATGGCCGTTGCCTTTTCTCATCTGCAGGTGTGTGTGGTTTCAGCGCAGCATGGCTGTGGTCATCCGCTTGCAAGGTCTCCCGATTGTGGCGGGGACCATGGACATTCGCCACTTCTTCTCTGGATTGACCATTCCCGATGGGGGCGTGCATATTGTAGGGGGTGAACTGGGTGAGGCTTTCATCGTTTTTGCCACTGATGAAGATGCAAGGCTTGGTATGATGCGCACAGGTGGTACCATTAAAGGGTCAAAAGTGACGCTGCTGCTGAGCAGTAAAACGGAAATGCAGAACATGATAGAGCTCAGTCGTAGGCGTTTCGAAACTGCCAATCTAGATATGCCACCGGCGAACGCGAGCAGGTCGGGACCACCACCTAGTTCTGGAATGAGTGGCAGGGTTAACTTACCTACTACTGTACCTAACTTTAATAACCCTTCTCCTAGTGTAGTAACTGCTTCTACTACAGTGCATGAGAGCAATAAAAACATATCCACATTTTCTACTGCCAGTATGGGGACTGCACCTCCAAATCTTGGCAGTACCTTTGGTAGTCCAACCTTTAGCTCGACTATACCTAGCACAGCGTCCCCAATGAACACAGTACCTCCTCCACCAATCCCTCCTATCCCAGCTATGCCATCTTTGCCACCAATGCCTTCTATTCCCCCCATACCTGTTCCCCCTCCTGTACCCACACTGCCTCCTGTTCCTCCAGTCCCTCCGATTCCCCCTGTGCCCCCTGTGCCTCCCATGACCCCTCTGCCTCCCATATCAGGAATGCCTCCTATGAATCCTCCACCTGTAGCACCCTTACCCACTGGAATGAATGGGTCTGGAGCAGCAGTGAATATGAACAGCGGCTTGAATCCATTGTTTATCGGTCCCATGAATCCTGTAAATCCTATCCAGATGAATTCTCAAGGTAGTGTCAAGCCAATTCCAATCAATCCCGATGACTTGTATGTCAGCGTACATGGAATGCCCTTTTCTGCAACAGAATCTGACGTGAAAGACTTTTTCCTTGGGCTCCGTGTGGATGCGATCCATATGCTGAAGGATCATGTAGGTCGAAATAATGGAAATGGACTAGTTAAGTTTTTTTCTCCTCAAGATACGTTTGAAGCACTGAAGCGAAACAGAATGCTGATGATTCAGCGCTATGTTGAAGTTAGTCCTGCAACAGAGAGGCAGTGGGTGGCTGCTGGAGGCCACATAACTTTCAAGCAAACCATGGGTCCCTCTGGGCAGGCACATCCTCCTCCCCAGCCTCACCCTAGGTCCAAATCTCCCGGTGGGCAGAAAAGGTCACGGTCGAGATCTCCCCACGAGCACGGTTTCTGTGTTTATTTGAAAGGTCTCCCTTTCGAATCGGAGAACAAACACGTGATAGATTTTTTTAAAAAGCTGGATATAGTCGAAGACAGCATTTATATAGCTTATGGACCTAATGGGAAGGCAATTGGAGAGGGGTTTGTTGAGTTCAGGAACGAGGCTGATTATAAAGCAGCTTTGTGCCATCATAAGCAGTACATAGGGAATCGCTTTATTCAGGTTCATCCAATTACTAAAAAGGCGATGTTAGAAAAGATAGATCTGATTCGGAAACGATTGCAGAACTTCAGCTATGACCAGAGAGAAATCCTGATGAACGCTGAGGGAGAACCAGGCCTGCCAAAATTGTGCGCACATATATCTAATATCCCATACAACATAACAAAAATGGAAATCCTGCAGTTTCTAGAGGGACTGGCAGTAGAAGAAAGCTCTGTACAAATCCTTGTTGATAATAATGGGCAAGGTTTAGGCCAAGCTCTGGTTCAGTTTAAAGCTGAAGATGATGCTCGTAAGGCAGAGCGTTTGCACCGTAAAAAACTGAACGGAAGAGACGTTAATTTGCGTTTGATAACTGTAGAAGAAATGAGAGATATCGAGAGAAACCCACCATCTCAAGGGAAAAAGATCCTGAAAATCCCGATGCAAGGAAACGCGGCTGTGCCAGGAGCGCCGGGCCCCGGTGGGGATGAGCATGCCTTCTTGGGGGGAAATGCTAAAGAAGCAAACAATGGGCCTCCCTTCAACTTCCCCGGTAACTTCAGCGGCTCTGGCACGTTCGGTCCCCCTCTGCCACCTCCCGGGATCGGTGGCTTTCCTGATTCTAGACCAGGAATACCTGCAGTTGCAGCCAGTAGTTTACCCGGTGCAAGTATCGAGGTGCCAGCTTTTGCTGGCGGTCCTGCTAATTTGAGTGGGCCGGCAGGTTTTGCAGGGGGCCCTCAGACGTTCGGTAATGGTCCTGGCAATTTAAGTGGGCCCCCTGCCTTTGGTGCCGGTCCTCCAGGCATTGCTGGCGGTCTTGGACATTTAAGTGGACCTCCGGGGTTTGGGCCCGGACCAGGAAACATACATATTAGTGGACCCCCAGGTTTTGGAACGGGCTCTGGGAAGCCAGGGCCAACTGTCATCAAAGTGCAGAATATGCCCTTTACTGTTTCGGTCGATGAAATTTTGGATTTCTTTTATGGTTACCAAGTGATCCCCGGTTCAGTGTGCTTAAAATACAATGAGAAGGGCATGCCCACTGGAGAAGCAATGGTTGCATTTGAGTCTCGTGATGAAGCTATGGCAGCTGTTGTTGATTTAAATGACAGACCTATAGGCTCCAGAAAAGTAAAACTTGTTTTAGGGTAGCTGTTCATCTGAAGTAGTTGTAGAATAGATATTCATAGTGCTGTGATAAATGCATCTGGATTGGTTTTTATAGTATTTCCAGGATAGAACCTGTGGATTGTTTAAATTGTACAACAGATTGGTTTTGATAAGGCAGAGCACTGGGTTAGCCATGACGTGAGAAACACTGCGAGGAGAGATGTGCAGTGGATTTTCCCCGTGCGAATACGCGGAGAAGCTGGACAGATTCTTATTCACCGTAGAAGTTTGGTAAACTCTCCTGGACACGGTGCTTATCGGAACCCGGGAGGGGTTGGACAGAGTTTTGGATAAGGGAAGTAGGTGAAGTCAGTGAAGCTCTTCAGTGGGTGCTCTCGTAAGCCATTGTAAAATAGATAGCTATTTCTAGATTTGGTTAAAAGCTGGCTGAATTTGCTTTGTTTACAGGTCAAAGCTTTGTTTAAAGTCCTGATTTTATTCTGCAACTGAATTCTCAGTGTACACAGATTAATTGTTTTGTGTATGTATCTTTATTTTTTCCAAGATTTTCACTGTATGAACAGTTGAATTATGCCCTTTGCTGATGTGTCTACCAAACTAATTCCTATGAGTATGAGCAGAATCGTTCTGTAAAATTCAAGCTGTTCTTTGTGGTATAACCTTTAGTTATTTATATATTGCAATTATAACTGTGCAGAATAAGACTTTTGCCACAAGTATAGCTAACCTCAAACGTAAATCATACGAGTTTTATAGTACACTTAAAACGTTTCCAGTTGAAAATAATCATTATTGTTTAAGTAGCTTGATTTGTTAGGATCACACGAATCAGTTGGGGAAGGATCTTTGACACTAGTTGGATATTGATGTTGTATTTCTCATGTGTCTCTTGAACTCCTTACATAGAGTCTCTGTTAAGAGAACCAAAGTGGTGATTATTAGTTGAAGATTGGAGTCCAGATAAAGTTTTAAATTAGGTTATAATGAAAGAAACTTGTATCTTCAGCAACTCTGTTGTGAATTACTGCTATGGGTGAATTCAGAGATAAAATTTATTTTTCTCCAAAACTTGAAAATACTGAGTTTACTATATATTTTTGCAATAAAGTTGTGCTGTTGTATTCAAAGTCTGTAAAGAGTTGCCATTTTCTTTGTTGTGCAGTGAAGCCTTCCATGGAGAAACAGAGAAATGGAAAGGGACTAATTACTCAAGTAAAAAGTAGAATTTCTTTGGTTCATCCTCGCTTGGCTTATGATAAATTTTAAGACTTGGGTATTGCCTGGAAAAAAATCCTGCTATTCCCTGCAAATCATTGTACTTAAACATAGTAAAACTTAACCTGTTTTGGTTTGGTTTTGTTTTTTTTTTTTTTGACCAAGAAAAACAGTGCCTTTTGGTGTTGCATATCATGGAACACTGAAGTGTATGGGCAGGCAAAATTGAGAGGTGCAAGTGGCAACAGTTTTATTCCTGTGGTGTGTAGGAGAGATTTGCAAACCTGTGCAGCGCTGCATCCCGAGAGGATTTCCCAGTACAGGAATCCGTGGAAGGATTGTGTAAAGGTGTACTTCAATAAAGAGGCGGTTGCATTACACAGATGCTTCTGTAATTCATGAGCATAATTTTCTTTTGACAGATTACTAGGTGGTCCCATCTTTTGAAAAGTCATGTGATTTGTATATACTGTTTAAAATTAAGCCTCCTGTTAATAAAACTGTCTGTCTCTGAAGCTCCATGTTATGCGTTTCAACAGTCTTTGGGAGTGATGTTTCAACAGCAGATCTTTGTTTCTTTTTTTTTTTTCCCCCCCTCTGAAAGTCTGAAAGTACTCTTGCTGATGTCAGAAAGATGTGTGATTAGGAGTCAAGTCTTTCAGTTTATTTTTAAAATTTTGCTCTTTGTTTTTTAAGCAACTTTTATTAAAGTTTCATACTATATTGGAGTTATTTGGGTGCTTGTTTTTTCATGTTTCACATTAGAATAAAATGACTGAAAAGGAAAACTTGGCTTCATTGTTCACAGAATTGATTTAAGATATTAGTGTGTGTGTTGATCTGCCAAAACTGGTGGTAACTGCTTTTCAAACGAATCACAACAATGCCTGCCTTGTTGTGAAATGTAATTAAACTCCAGGTGTCTGGAATTAGAGACACAGTTCTGTGTTACTGTCTTTGATTTCACGTCGGGATCCTCTTGGTCGTGGATCCAGGGCTTTTAGTGCTTGGGTTAGACCCGGCCTATGCTGTGGAATATACTTGTGTGCCTCTTCCTTTGGACTTGCTGAAAGTGCAGGTTTGTTTTGGAAAGCTTTTCTTTTCTGATTCTGAATTTTTCTCTATGGACTAAAGATGTTTAAATGCTAAAAAAAAAGTGCAAATCCATACAAACAGCCATTGCTGTTGGGAACGTTGATGGAATGTTTAAATGGAGGATTTGGGGTGGGGAAGGGGTTTTTCATCTTGCCAAGCAGTTGATGCTCCTCATCTTTTAGCATAAATTAGGTAGTAAATATGCCCTCTTCCTTGAGAGTGGGCTCTTGGAAAAAAAACCAGGAAGTCCGAGCATATTTTGAGTTTCTGTAGGTATGAGAAGCAGTACATTGACCCGAGTAGTTATGGTTGACTCTTTAAAGCATATATGGACAAAAGGTCATTGTCAAGTGTCGATGCAAATAAAAGCAGTTTTCTGTAAAAAGTTGCTTTCATGTGAGAAGCAGCCTTAAAACTGCACGTGGAGCTAAATTATGAGAGAAGCCCTTATATATGAACAGACTGCACGTCTGGAGTTGATGAAATTGCTCGCTTTGCACATGTCTGTGGTCATGAACAGCCTTGGGGAGTAGGACAGTAGGACCTGAGGTCCTGGCTCCGGTGGAAGGTGCACAACTGCCCTTGCCGTGTATGCCTGGAGCTGGTTGGTGGCGAGAGGCAGCACCAGACAGAACCAGCTCCTGGATGCTGCTCACATCCCCGGTTGTGTTGGCCTCGGTGCTCTCTGAGTGTCAGGAAGTGACGTCCTGTTAAGCCTCCTGGGAACAGAACTCTCGGTGACACTGATGTCCCGATGGCTTCCAGTGATGGAGAGAAGGTACCTGTGGTTCTGTAAATGGCTAAGTTGGTGTTTTTAGCAGTTCCGTAACTGATTGTGTCTGAGTTCTACTGCTGAAACAACGTAAGTGGTGACTTGTTACAGTCTCAATGTGATTTCTGTTCAACGTACTTTTTCAGTCCCATTCTAAATAGAAATGAATGCAATTAGTCCATGATAAACTTGTGACTTACGTGAAAGAACTTCAGTAGTTAGATGAAAGCGTGACTTAAAATTACTAAGTTTCCAGCAGTTACACATAAACGTTGCAGTCAGATTATTGTTGTTAACACAACTTAATTCTGTAATGTCACAGACAGCGTTAAAGCCAGTTCTGTATTGAAGAATTGTTGCTATTTTTTAAGTGTAGATTTGTGAGAGGTTTGAGGCTCTGTGGGTTTACAGATACTTGAAGGATGCTTTTTAAAGTAGCATTCCTTTCATAGCATGCAGTGTTTTCCTTGAATGTCTGAATTTGTGGTGAGTGGAGAGGAAGATGGATGCAGAAATGACTGTAATTGTGCACCAGGTGACATTGAAGCTCTGCCTTCTGAAAAACAGACCTGCTGGTCAGTCCCTCGTGGCTGACTGCCCTTGGAGTCCTTGCCTGTGCTGTGTGAAAATAGCAGCTTGCTTTGCCAAGAGTATTTTGGAGCACTGAAGACTGTAGACTCTCCAGAAAAGGCTGTTTCCCGTTCCCAGGCACACGGGTGGTGTGATGATGACTGCAGGTGTTGTATTTGGTTCCTCCTCAGTGTCCTGCAGTGGTGCTGTTGGCCCTCAGTGGGTCGGTCAGCAGCGAGCACCGCTGGCCAGTGTTGGCCTCCTGAGCCCCAGAACCAACTGCTGCGTGCTGGGGACCACTCACAGCCTCTGGGTGCCGAACAGACCGCTCTCTGAGAGCAGCTGCTTTAGGCTGATTACTCAGATCCGTGCATTAGACCCTGAACCAAAGGACATTCCTGCTTAATATGGAGTCCAGTGCAAGGAAAGCACTAGTTTTGATATTGATAATCGGTTGGAAAGCAGCAGTTTTGAAACTGGACTGATGTATTAGGAAGCATTTAGGTTGAGTCTAGCTAGAGACATACAGAATTTAGTTTTATGGCAGTTTGCTTCTTTAGATGTTGTGCAGGTGTTTCAAAAGAAAATGAGAGATGCTCAATTCTGTTGTTGTAAGGTTTCTCAGAAACTGCTTGGGCCTGGAGGCAGAGATACCGAATTACATTTGCTCGTTTTTGCTCCTTTGCAGGTTTGCTGATGCTCCCCTCTGTTCTGTGGCTGTGTTTTTTTTTGTGGCTTTGGGAAAACTGAGCTAGAGTTTGTGTCCAGAGCAAATGACCCTTTCTCCTGAAGGAAGAGGAAGGGAAGGTGTCTGTTAAATGCTACTGCGGGAAGAGTAACCTCGAGGTGTTCTCTTCCTGTCTGTTTTTGGCAGTGAGAATGTGATTGTGGTTCAAAGATTTGCCTTTCCCACAGCAAACCTGTTGGTTGGTGGTAGGCACATTGATTTGTGGCTGTGTGCTGGAGCCCACTGCTCTCTCCCGATCTCGTGACAGGTGGGTATAACTGGAGCTTGTTTTCTGTACAGGTGGCTTTGTTGGTAATTTTCTTGGAGCTTTGTTACTACGTGAATGTTTGGTGTTGTTAGTGCTCCCCACCTCCTTGACCTGAATGCTTTTCCCTCCTGGGTGTCAGTACCTGTGGAAGAAAAGCAGCCCTTGGAGTGTTCCTTTTCTGTAGCTCCGCCCTGAGCTCAGGTGTTGGATGGTTTGGCTGGGACTCTTCTCACCTGCCGGTGCTCAGTTCTGTGCAGCTTCCTTTGTTCTCCTGCTCCTGGGTTTGTGTGTCCATGTTCACAGCATGGCAGCTTTGGGGAGAAGCAGCCACGTGAATTCTGACCCAAATTCCTTTACTGCTTCTGCAGAGGCAGAGCTTCCTCCTTTGTGTCAGTCCCTCTCGTGTGTTCTCATGTCTCCAGCCTCAAGTTCAAATGGTCTTACTGGTTGCTTCCCAAATATATTAAAGTAAGCTTTCAGAAACAGGGAATGTGTTTTCTTTTAACACGAGTCTGATTTCCACAAAATCAATTTTGTAACTGTATTTGCTGTTCTTACACCAGCCCCACTGGTTTTCCTCAGCTTTTGAGAGTTCTTTTGCTATGAATCACCAGTGAATTAGACCTGGTTGATCATAGATCACAGCCAGGAATAACTTCAGGGGCTGCAGTGGGCACTGCAGTGGGAGTTTAATTTCCCTGTGAAGCTTAAAACTGAAAAGTAAGGATTTGTAAGGCTTGCATGGGGGAAGTAGGAATTGATCCTGCCTAAAAAACTCTTCTGGCTGGCATAGCTTGGCTTGTTGTGCTGGTCACTGCTTCTGGAAGGCTGGTGATTCCCTCAGCTCTTTGTGTTGCAGTTGCACTGTTGTTAACCAAGGAATGGGTTGGATGGTACCACTCTGGTGTCTGACCATCTGAAGGCACGTGGAACTTCCAGCCAGCGGGTTCAGAGTTTGGAACGAATCGTTTCATGTTGATTGTTTGCCATTAGATGTGACTGTGTGGATGTATCATTGCTCTGTGTGACAGCAGCAAGCGTAGAAATGCTTTCTAGGCAGATTTAGGGGAGGAAAATAGCGCTACAGTCAGCACCTAAACTACTTGAAGAAATCCTTTTAGGTGATTTTGATTGAGTGCCTTTTATGATGAATTTCACAAGACCTCTGTCAGTAAAATTGGAAGCCTTGGTGTATCACCTCTTTGTTTCGTGACCTTGCTGTGGTGGCATTTGCCAAAATGTTCTCCATAACGTGAGGTTTTTATGAAACTGGATGAAAACAAAGGTATCGTGGTTTTTAGCAATATAACCAAAGCATTGCTGCTTGTTCTGAGGGGAGATGGACATGGAATGTGGAAAGTCCTTGCTTGTTTGAACAGCGGTGTCAACTCTAAAGTGAAAATGATGGTTGCTGGTGCTGTTTCATTATCAGGCAAGTGTTTACAAGAGCGGAATTAAAAAATTTCATGTGCTTGAGCAACACTAGTGCAACCAGCTACAAAAGCAAAGGGGCTACTTAAAGTAAAATTAGGCCCTGGCAGTTCCTTGACTGCGCGGGAAGCCCTTCCTTAAGGAGGGGAGGCGGAGTTGTTAAATGTCACTGCTACACTTGCCTGGGATTCCCCTGCTCCATTCCAGCACTGCTGCAGGGCCTGCCTTCTGTGCTGCAGGTCCAGCCACAGGAGTAAATGGAGTGTTTGTAATAGTGCTTCGAGCTCTCTCCGTATCTAGACTTGAGTGCTTTCAGGAGGTAAGTGTGGGGGTGTTGGAGCGAGTTTGTCTCCCAGTAACCAGTGTGGTAGTGGCAGAAGGTTCCCATCCTCACTTCAAGGGTGCATCAACATTAACATCAGGGAAGGGGCATTGGGGCTGAAGTTGAAAGGTTGAGGCCAAACTTTGAGCTTTAGTCATGGTGAAAACAGCCAAGTGCTGCCCTCATCTAATGAAGAACGTTTGTGGTTCAGAAACTTCAGATCTGAGCCTGTGTGAAAAAGAGCACAATGAACCAGTGGCTAAGTAGTTAAATTCTTAACTGCTCTGAAATGTAAATTCAGTTGTTAATGACGGAATGGTGTGAGATAGGTAATTGATCTAAAGGAGTTAAGCAGTTAAACTTGAGCCCTGCACGAATGTGTGTTTTCTTAGGTTGTAAATCAGACTACCTTTTGATAAGTTTTCTTTTTTTTCATAAGTTTTTTAAAGACAACTGTAGTTGTTGTCATTTAAGTCAGTGTGTATATAAAGCATTTAAAACTGGGGGCATCTCTTAAAGAAAAAAGCCTTTCAAGTATATCTGGAAAATTACATACACCATGACCTGCTGCACAAATGTCCTGAATTTTTTGAAGGCCTTTTT